AAAAAAAAAAAAAAAAAGAAAAGGATAAAGAAAGCTCTCTAGACTAGGAACCCCCACTTCTTAGGCCTAACACTCCACTGAGGGGTTCCCACAATGGAGCTGAGTCAGCAAAATGGTGCCTGTACCCACCTATCTTCACCGAAGCCATTGGTGATGTTTTGCCACTCAGCCAAGAATGAGGATGCATCCTAGAAAGAAAAAAGCAGAATCAAGGAACAGAAGGTATCCCCAGCTTCTGAGTCCCTCTGTTCTCACCCAAGCTTTGTCTCTAATAGGGAAAGGGAACTCACCTTCAGATTCTCTATGTCCCGAACCTGGAACCCATCCACGCCAGCTTGCAGCCAAAACTCCAGAGCATCCTATAGGGGGCAGAATAGTAGAGGACAGACATCAATTCTCAGGAAAAGGCTCCAAAAATTCCAGCCCACACTAAACCTCACCCACCACACACTTCCCCAGGACCCGGGGAGAGCCTTGTGCCTTGCCTGGGTCTTCCCCACCTGCACTACAAAGGCTTAGCCCTGGCACCCCTCCAGTTCTACCCTTCCACTGATTTTCTTAGTGCTACGGCATTTTAGTTCTCTATTCCTGCCTCTGGCAAATCACACACCTTCACCTTTGAAAGCTACAGAGAGGGGCCCAGAGAAGATGTCCACAAACATAACTTCATTTAACACTTAGTATTGGAACGTTAGTATATCTGTTTTAGAGATGAAGAATCAGAGAAGCAGGGAGACATGTCCATGGGTCATAATCAGTGAGCAGCAGACAGGATCTAAAATGTCAGTCAAGATCCCCCCTCTCCCAGTTTACTGAGGTCTGGGGAAGGAGTGAGTACAACAGCTGCTCAGAGCAAGACCAAGGATCAAAGATTGAAATTCAAAGCACAGCCTCAGGGCAGTTTCGATTTGAAAAGAGGCCAGTGCTGCAGAATAGAGCCCTGGCAGTCATCTGATGCACAATGTGGAACTTCCCCCTACTCTCCCTTTCTTCCCTTTCCCTGGGCCCCTGCTCTGTCCTCTGGTCTCCATTTTCATGTGAGCGTACCACCCCTCACACCAAAACATCCAAAAACATTCCCTTATCAGTAACTTTTAGAAGGTCCCCTACGCAAGGCCTAAACTGGACAATCCCCGGGTCCCACCCAAATGCTGGGAGTCTAGAATTCTATCTCAGAATGACAGCTACCAGCAGTGTCAGTATCTGCCTCCATTTTTGTTCTACCCATTCTGAACAAGTCAGTGTCCTAGGATCCAGGCATCAGGAGCTAGAGTGACATTCAAAGCCCTACTCCTAGCCTGCCGGGTATAGACTTGAGCCTATGGCAAATGAGATAGAGTTATACAGGGAATTAGAAAACATCTATAAGATACTCGGCATAGTCCCAGACACATAGGAGTAACCCAGTGCTTATAATTTCAGACTGGGCTCTATTCCAAACACATCAAACAAGAAGTGGGAAACCAGTCAGGATAGGATTCCCACAGACAAAGAGCTTCCTCTCCCAAAAGAAAGAAAAATCAAGCTTCCAGACTGACATCTGAGAAGGTCCCTTCCTGGCACTGTCTCATCCTCAGAGTCAAGGAAACAAGAAATGTAAGAGATCAGAAAAGGAACAAGAAAAACAGAGGTGTGCTATTGGCCTATCCTTCGACTATGGGAGGAGGCGTTCCTGCTTGGCCCCAAGGAGCAAAGGGACCCTTCAGCTGGAGCCAGGCTGGGTCTACAGGGCTTGCTGTGAAGGCACCATCCCAGCCCCAGCATCTGACTTCCACCAGCCATCAGCTCCAACACTCACCTTCACCTTGGTGGCCACAGTGTCAACCTGAGTGGAGAACCATGAGTTCTCACCCTGATAGTTGGGAGTGAGGTCCAGAATGACACGGATGCCTAGAACAACGGAGGAAGAGGCAGTCATGAGACAGTCTAGGGGTTAAGGAGAAATAAGGAAATCACAAACGCAAGTCACTGGGTGTTTCCTATGTATTATTTGGTACAAAAGCTTGAATCTGAACCCTGGCAAAATTCATCCCATTGAAATAGATGTGAGCAAGGAAGGGCCTTAAGATATTGGAAGGCAGGCCAGGTGTGGAGGCTCATGCCTGTAATCCCAGCACTTTGGGAGGCCGAGGCAGGCGGATCACTTGAGGTCAGGAGTTCAAAACCAGCCTGGCAAACATGGTGAAAAACATCTCTAAAAATAAAAAAATTGCCGGGTGTGGTGGCTCACAAGGTCAGGAGTTTGAGACCAGCCTGGCCAACATGGTGAAACCCCGTGTCTACTAAAAACAAAAAAGTAGCCGGTGTGGTGGTGGGCACCTGTAATCTCAGCTACTCAGGAGGCTGAGGCAGGAGAATTGCTTGAACTGGGGAGGCAGAGGTTGCAGTGAGCCAAGATCTCACACCACTGCACTCCGCCCTGGGCAAAAGAGCAAGACTCCATCTCAGGGGGGAAAAAATTATCCAGAATTATCCAGGTATGGTGGCACATGGCTGTAGTTGCAGCTACTCAAGAGCTGAGCCAAGAGAATCACTCGAACCCCAGGGGAGGAGGTTGCAGCAGTAAGCTGAGATCATGCCACTGCACTCCAGCCTGGGTGACAGAACGAGACTCCATTGTAAAAAAAAAAAAGACATTGGAAAGCAGAAAGTTTATAGTGCAGAGAAGTGGACCCTGTGTTCCCCACTCCCACAGTGAACCTTTTTAAACATGTGTCTATACTGAGTTGTAAAACAACATTTGGGATTTCCAACCCCCAAAAGAACATATTGTTTTACAAGTCTCAAACCACTGATTTAGTAAATATCTACATTTTGCAAATAAGGGCATTGAAGCCCAGAAGTTAAATGACCTGTTCAATATTCCACAGCCAAGTAGAAAGCCCCCAAACGACTGGACAAATAAATCCATTTTAGGCTGAAGACAACCAACTCTCCCCTCTACCTGCCCTAGGAAAACTCAGAGCCAGTTAGGAGGAAACCAGACAAAACTTTTATCCTACTTTTCCTCTGGCCAAGTCCTTTCTACCTGTTTCCTTGGGACCCCAAGATACCCACTCTTTTTTTTGGCAGATTGCAAGAGACTGGCAAAATCTTCCTTGGAACCAAAATTAGGGTCGATCTGCAGCAAGTCGGTCCCAGCAACATCATCCTTCTGGTTCTTGTGAATTGGGCCCAGCACAAGGCCCTTCACCTTCAGAGAGCTCAGGTAATCGAGATGCCCCTTCAGACCTGAAATGGGGGGCTGGGTTAACAGGTAAGTCTCCTCTGAGGGGCCCCAGACCTCCCCACTCTCCCTTCCCCCAGAGCCTAAGGGTGGGACTGGGAGGGGGAACGGGGAAAAGGGGGAGGTGAGATTGAATCACGAGACTCAGGAGCTGATGTAAGGAGCCCTGCAAGTTACTTCAGAAACCGGTTGCAACTGGCTCCAGGCGCCGCTGGGAGTGAGGACGCTGAGTCACCCACCCTCGTGACAGAGTGAGGGGCGGGTCGGCTTTCTTCAAAGAAAGGAGGGAAGGACAATGTGCGGGGAGGGGTGTGGGGAGGGGAACAGTCCTGGGTACCGGATGGAGGGGAGAACCGGCTAGATCACTCTGGGGACAGGTGAGGGGGTCTGTGCAGGCCACAGATTCAACCAAGGACAGGCATGCGCTGCACTCACCCGCCAGGTTGCCCGCGCCGTTGCCCTGGAAGCCCTGAAGGTCGCCGATGCGGTAGAGGGCGCCCGTGTGCCACCACTTCTGCACGGGTAGATCGCGACAGCGCGGCGCCCGCACGATTATGACCACGGCACCTGCCAGCATACCGAGCCAGCCGAGCCAGAAGAGCAGCAGCAGCACCCAGCGGGTGCGCACCCAGCCGGGGCTGCCCGCCACCTTCAGCAGCTCCTCTTTGGAAAGGCCCGTGAACTTGGCCGCGGCTGCCGCCTCCGCCTCGTCTTCCGCCACCTTGATCTTCACCAGACCATTCTTCTCGGCGCCCGCTACGGCCATGGCCGCCCCAGACGCCGCGTTCATCGGCTGCTTCTCGGGTTCTAGCTCATTCAGCTCCACCTCCTTCATATCCACCTCGGTGTCCTGACTCATGGTGCCTGCAGAACCGGCGACACGACTCAGACTGCGGTCAGATGGTGGCTCAACCCCTACCCGGACCTCCGGACACAGAACGATCTCCCTGGCCGGTGTGACTACGCGCAGCTTCCGCTAGTACATCTGCTCGGCAGCGGGCGCGGCCTCAGGGTGGAGGCAGTGGAGCCGAGCCGAGCCGAGCCGAGCCCCGCCCCGCCCCGCCCCGCCCCGCCCCTTAAGGTGGAACCTCGGCGACGGCCCCAGCCGTTGTGGGCGGCTCAGGGTAGTAAAGTCAGGAACACGCCTCCGACAGTACTTCCTGCGTCGTCCTATTTCTCATCTCCAACCTGTCTAACCCTGAGGTTCAGCTGAGGCTGGGACGGCTTGGCACGGAGCCACCTTTAAGTGGAAGAGGCCTGTGATCCAGCCCCAAATCCCGAGGCCCCTCCAGCGTCCCTTAGGCTTAACTGCCCCCAAAGGCCCCTACCTCTTCGCCCATTCCGGCAGGCTAGTGACTATCCCAACACCATCCTCTACTCGCCCCTGGTTCAGAGCTCTGGCCACCGCCTGGTATTCCCAGCTTTGCATGGCTGCTAACACTCTCAGAGGCCGCCAGACACAGCTTCTGTCTTTTCCCCAAGGCTTGCCCTCCCAGGCCTCTGGGACTTGGTGTAGACCTCTGCTTCCGTGCAGGGCTTACTCCCACTCGTTTTTCAAGACTCTTCTTGAGTTTATTTCAAGTACTTCCTCATGCAGCAACTATTTATTGTGTACTCACTACAATACTTTGCTTTGTTAACTTTATTGAATTAACGCTAATCCAGTCTTCTTCACAGTACTTTAAAATCGACGTTTGGACAGGAGAGTGGAGGTAGACGCCCCCCTTCTTATCCTACCCCACCCCCAGCTGGATGTTTAGCAGCTAGGAATCAGACATCCAGAAGAGACTGGCTGGGCTGTAAAGAACGTAACAGAGCTGGGAATCAGAGGCATCCACCTTTTTCCTAGAATAGACCAGAAGATGCCACGGCCAGACTCTTACCCACCTTACAGGGCACAGATTACCCAAACTCCCCCAAGGTCCTGTCTCCCTATCACTTCACTATATTAGGCCTTGGAGGCAGCTGGTACTGCAGACGCTTTGAAGACCTCTAGAATTCCCTCCACAGGGTCCTTGGATTGAAGTGGGGCAGAGACAAGGTTCAGAGCAGGAAACTACCGGACATCAACACCATGGAGTGCCAACACTCTCCGGAACTCCTTGTTCCTAAACAGCGCCAGTTGGGTTATTTTCAGAGAGGAGCTGGAGGAAATCGGTTCTTTCTCCCTTTCCCACCGAGGCTGGAAGCCAAGATTGCTGTGTACTTAGAAGAAAGCAAAACCTAGTATCTTAAGTAATAACAGAGAAAACGGTGTAGAAAGGCTCATCCTCTGCCAGTCCCTTCTGCAGCCCAAGGCATCCATCCCCATCCCCACCCTAGGAACAAGGGGTGCACGGGGCTGTAAGAAGCAGAGCAAGTGGGTAGAGATTGGGGTTCAGACCAGTGCTCAAAGATAAGAGGTCCAAGGTGCCCTGCATGTGCCAGATAAAAAGTGCCAACCAGAGGTTCTGAACAGACTTTAGCACGAAAGCTCAAGGCTCGGTGCAATGACTCATGCCTGTCACCTAGCCCTTTGGGAGGCCAAGGAGGGAGGATTGCTTGAGGATAAGAGTTTAAGGCCAACCTGGGCAACACAGTAAGACCCCATTTCAAAATAAAGACATAAATAAATTTTAAAATTATCTGGGCCTGGCTGGGCACAGTGGCTCATGCCTGTAATATCGGCTACGGCATGAGAAATGGCGGCTATGGCATGAGAGATCACTTGAACCTAGGAGGCACAGGTTGCAGTGAGCCGAGACTGGCCCACTGCACTCCAGTCTGGGTGACAAAACAAGACTCTGCCTCAAAAAAACTAACAGGCCAGGTGTGGTGGCTGACACCTGTAATCCCAGCACTTTGGGAGACTGAGGCCGGTGGATCACTTGAGGTCAGGAGTTCAAGACCAGCCAGGTCAACATGGTGAAACCTCATCTCTATTAAAAATACAAAAACTAACCAGGCGAGGTGGTGTATGACTGTAGTCACAGACTTGGAGGAGTGATGCACAAGAATCTCTTGAACCTGAGCGGCAAGGTTGCAGTGAGCCAAGACAGCGCAGCTGCACTCCGGCCTGGATGACAGAGTGAGACTGTCTCAAAAAAAAAAAATTATCTGGGACTCCTGATGTGTCCCTGTAAGTCCCATCAAGTGCCAACACTTAAGGGAAGCAAAAGCAAGAGGATCACGTGAGTCCAGGAGGTTGTGAGGCGGCAGTGAGTGATGGTGGCACCACTGCATCCCAGCCTAGGAGACAGAGCAAGATGCTGTCTCTAAAAATGAATAAGAAAAGCTTTGCACAGTGGCAGTATCGTAGCCAATGAGGTTTGTCCGAGGTGCGATTATTGCTAATTGAAAACTTTTCCCAATACCCCGTGGTGACGACTCGCAATACAGTCAGCACTGGCAATTTTTGACAGTCTCTATGGAGACTGACTTAAAAAAATAAATAAATAAATATTAAAAAGGTTGAAAACTGGCCGGGCGCGGTGGCTCACGCTTGTAATCCCAGCACTTTGGGAGGCCGAGGCGGGTGGATCACGAGGTCAAGAGATCGAGACCATCCTGGTCAACATGGTGAAAGCCCATCTCTACTAAAACTACAAAAAATTAGCTGGGCATGGTGGCGTGTGCCTGTAATCCCAGCTACTCGGGAGGCTGAGGCAGGAGAATTGCCTGAACCCAGGAGGCGGAGGTTGCG